TTCACATTTGGTGGCATTCGGTGGCATTAAAACGGTCTTCTTCACATTATTATTATATATGTATTATTATATTATTATAATATTATATTATTATGTCAGGGGTGCTTTAATTTGATATTCCCAGCAACTTAATTTGGAAATGACGTGAAGGCATACAATAAAACAACAGCAACATGGACAACAGGTTTTCACCAACGGAATGTGGATCCCATCATCAAGGAACCTTTCAGATTTCACATCTCAGTTATAACAACCCTTGTGTAACTCCTTTTGTGTTGCATAGAAGAAGAATCCTAAAACCTGCAAACCCATGGAACCCAATACCCTTCTATAACTTTGGCATAGACTCCAACGTGATGCCCCTTCTTCTTCTCTAGACTGAGTTGCATAACTTGGGATCTATTTGTGTGTTCAACTCATAGTAGTGGCCTGTATCCAAGAATAAAACCCACACTTCCCCATTTGAAGCCAGTCTGAGAGACGCTGCATGTACATCTTCTGTTGTAACATCTTTCCATTTAACTCATAGTAGACACAAAATATCTGTTTTTCTACTGACTAGGCAAATACTGCTCTTGAAGAATCTGTACTTCAGCTCTTAAACTTTGGCCACATTTTGACCTTCTCTCCATCCTATATTATTTTTCTAGTATTTTCAGTCAGATTGTAATTATTTTAAACTATCATGTTGGCTCTTGTTAGTATTATTTTCCGCACTTATTCACTATCAGACTTTTCTATCATTCCAAATCCTTTTCCCTTCTGCTTGACATAACTATATAGATTTATGGATAGGATTTATGTCTGTTTATATCTCTCTAGCAATCTGTGTAAATCTGTGTCTAAATGTATATGGCTTAACAATACTTGGGCCTTGAATAGCTATTAATATGGTAGCCACTCTAACAAACATTTGGGACCATAAGTCTAAACAGCATGTTTTCTGTCTTCTTTTTTAAATCAAAACTTTATTGATTAGATTTCAGTTCAACTTTTATCTAGTAGTTTCTATTCATTTCTCTTTATATCTCTTTCAATCAAACAGCTCAGGTGTACATATTACTTCCACCATTTTTATTTTCACAATAGCATGGTGTTGTCGTTCATTCGTTCAGTCGTTTCCGACTCTTCGTGACTTCACGGACCAGACCACGCCAGAGCTCTCTGTCGGTCGTCACCACCCCCAGCTCTTTCAAGGTCAATCCAGTCACTTCAAGGATACCATCCATCCATCTTGCCCTTGGTCGGCCCCTCTTCCTTTTTCCTTCCATTTTCCCCAGCATCGTCTTCTCTAAGCTTTCCTTTCTCCTCATGATGTGGCCAAAGTACTTCATCTTGGCCTCTACTATCCCTCCCTCCAATGAGCAGTCAGGCTTTAATTCTTGAAGTATGGACTGGTTGGATCTTCTCGCTGTCCAAGGCACTCTCAGAACTTTCCTCCAACACAACAGTTCAAAAGCATCTATCTAACATAGTCTTAGCCATTGATTTTAATTTGATCCCATGGTCACCCAGTCTTAGTCCAGTGCTATTGCCATTTCACTATGATGGTTTATTTATTTATTTATTTATTTATTTATTTATTTATTTATTTGCTTTACTTCTATACCGCCTTTCTCAGCCGAAATGGCGACTCAAGGCGGTTTACATAGTAAAGGTCAACACAACAACATCAAAAAGGCAATTAAAAACACATTATACAAAACATATCAAGTCAAAAACAATCATTATCATAGACGTGCGCCTCAGCAAACAAATCAGAATCAGAATCCGCAATCATAATCCTTTATACCAATTCCTATGTTCAGTTGTACCATCTTACTGTGTTTCATTGCATTATTTAGCCAAACGCTTGTTCGTAAAGCCAAGTCTTGACCTTCCTCCGAAATGCCAGCAGTGAAGGGGCCTGTCTGATGTCCACAGGTAGGGCGTTCCACATTTGGTTAGATCCAAATTTGCAATTTAGCTCATACACAATGACTTTTGTTGCTTTTCTTCTCATTCTTTTTAATATTAGGAAAGTTCTTTCTTCTCTCTTGCAGAATATAGTCTCAGTCACTATTCTTCTGTTTATATGAGTGGCCTTAGATTTCCTGCTCATGTTGTAAGTTTTTTATTTATCGTGTCAGGAGTGAACCAAAACAGTTGTATTGCATTAAAAAATAAACAAGCAAACAAACAAAACACAAAGTTTGCAGACTTGGTATTCTATTAAATGTCCTTTGACCAATAGTTGGCCACTTGGAGTGCCTCTGATGTTGCTGAAAAAAGGTCCTCCATTGTGCATGTGGCAGGGCTCAGGTTGCATTGCAGCAGGTGGTCTATGGTTTGCTCTTCTCCACACTCGCGTGTCATGGATTCCACTTTGTAGTCCCATTTCTTAAGGTTGGCTCTGCATCTCGTTGTGCCAGAGTGTAGTCTGTTCAGCGCCTTCCAAGTCGCCTAGTTTTCTGTGTGCCCAGGAGGGAATCTCTCATTTGGTATCAGCCATCGATTGAGGTTCTGGGTTTGAGCCTGCCACTTTTGGACTCTCACTTGCTGAGGTGTTCCAGCGAGTGTCTCCGTAGATCTTAAAAAACTGTTCCTTGATTTAAGTCGTTGGCATGCTGGCTGATACCCAAACAGGGAGTGGGCCGGAGATGTCACTGCCTTGGTCCTTTCACTATTGATTGCTACTCCCCGGCAGATGTCAGGTGGTGCAATACCGGCTAAACAGTGTAATTTCTCCAGTGGTGTATGGCATGGACACCCTGTGATAATGCAGCATGTCTCATAAAGAGCCACATCTACTGTTTTAGCGTAGTGAGATGTGTTCCACACCGGGCATGCATACTCAGCAGCAGAGTAGCATAGTGCAAGAGCAGATGTCTTCACTGTATCTGGTTGTGATCCCCAGGTTGTGCCAGTAAGCTTTCATATGATATTGTTTCTAGCACCCACTTTTTGCTTGATATTCAGGCAGTGCTTCTTGTAGGTCAGAGAACAGTCCAGGGTAACTCCCAGGTATTTGGGTGCACTGCAATGCTCCAGTGGGATTCCTTCCCAGGCAATCCTCAGAGCTCAGAATGCTTGTTGTAAGTGAAGTAGGCAAATTCTTACCAGTATAAATACAAATCATAAATAAGAAGAACTATACCTGTATTGGGATTAATAGAAGAAATGCAAAATTGTAAAAGGAAGGAAGGGGTTTAAAAAAACCAGAAGCCAAGTTTTAAAAAAGTTTCTTTAGCCAATTGTATGCCACAAATATAAACATATCTGGCTACTGAAAAGAATCTTAGGACTGATTTCTCTTCTACTTCATTTTTACGTTATACTGTATTTGCTCAAGCTTTATTTCGTCACTGTGGCTTAAATGTTTACAGTTGATTGATGGCAACTAACCAGAAAAACTGGCCTGAGCTGTTCCCAAGTCTCTTAAACCAGTAGATGAAGTTGTCTATGGTATGGCTAAAATTTTTCTGATTATTATTATTACTACTACTACTATTACTAGCCATCCCCTGCCACACGTTGCTGTGGCCCAGACTGATGATCTGGAACATAAAGTAATGAGAAAGTGTTCGTTTCTAATATATGTAATTTCTTTTTACTTATGGTTAAACAATATTTTTGATTCCTTGTCAGTGTTGATATGGAGGTTGTCTGGTTTGCCTACTCTGGAATATACAACATATAATTGTCCTCCTTTAGGGGTCCCTTTCAAATCTATGATAATTTATCTCTCTGTGTGTGAATCATATATATCTATCTATATCTATGGCTGGATGGCTCTTTGTCAGGGGGGCTTTAATTACGTTTTCTTGCCTGGTGAAGGGAGTTGGACTGGATGGCCTTAAGTATTTTCTGTTGGTCATGGGGATTCTGTGTGGGAAGTTTGCCCCAATTCTGTCATTGGTGGGGAGTTCAGAATGCTTTGATTGTAGGTGAACTATAAATCCCAGTAACTACAACTCCCAAATGTCAAGGTCTATTTCCCCAAAGTCCACCTGTGTTCATATTTGGGCATATGGAATATTTGTGCCAAGTTTGGTCCAGATCCATCATTGTTTGAGTCCACCGTGCTCTCTGGATGTAGGTGAACTACAACTCCAAAACTCAAGGTCAATGCCCACCAAACCCTTCCAGTGTTTTCTGTTGGTCATGGGAGTCCTGTGTGCCAAGGTTGGTTCAATTCCATCGTTGGTGGAGTTCAGAATGCTCTTTGATTGTAGGTGAACTATAAATCCCAGCAACTACAACTCCCAAATGACAAAATCATTTTTAGTGATGGTCACTCCTTGGGTTAGTAGGTGTCTTGTGGCCAAATTTGGCAGCAATTCATCCAGTAGTTTTTGAGTTATGTTAATCCCACAAACGAATTTTAGATTTTTATTTATATAGATTATTATGTTTATTCATATCTCGCTTTTTCTCTCCATACAGAGACTCAAAGCAGCGCACAACTAAAAGCATTGCAATACAGTTTCACATATATACAAATATACAAGTATTAAAGCAGTTTAACACCTCTGCGGTGTTTGTTTTGCTGTCTGTGCCCCTGTTCAGAAGATTTCTCTTCACTTTCTGTCCCTGCAATAATTGGATTTTGAAAAAAATGGCTTGTTGTGGAAGCAAGGATTAGCAATAAAGCTTTAGCAGAAACACCTTTTCCCTATAATAACTCTTCCAAGAATGAATTTCAGATGATCTCATGGGTTGAGTTAGGTTTTAATAACTATTTGTATGTGGTTTTTAGCTTAGATTTTAAAATTTGTTGAAGTTTGAAGTATATAACCCCTTGGTTTTGATGTGGATGTGCGGAACTGGGTCCCCCTGCTATGATCTGGTCATTGATCGTAATAAAGTTTATTTACTTACTTACTTAGAATGAATTTCCCTTCTAAGGGAAAGATTTCTCTCACTTCTTGTTGTCTCACACCCCGTTATTAACTATGAGTTGTTTGTAACTCAGGAACTGCCTGTATTTAAATAACCACTCTTCTTTATTGGTCCCATAGCCGCATGAGGAAGCAACCCCAGATCCCGTGTATGTGAATCTACAGGAGCTTCGTTTGGAACAGAGTGCTGCTATTACCAGCAATGCTGAATCTGCACCCCAGCCACACTTCAGCAGTCCCCTGAGCAACTGGGAGACCCACACGGACACAGAAAGTGGTCAACTGTTCTATTACAACCCAGAGACTGGCCAAACTACTTGGGACTCTCCATTTGACACCTCTGTGAATAGCCCAAATCCCACCCAAACACCCTCACCTTTGCTCACTCTGAGTCCTTCCACGCCTGCGGAGTGGGGCCAGTATGTAGATGAAGCCAGCGGACAGGTGTTCTTCTACAACACGGCTACAGGCGAATCATCGTGGGATGCGCCCCAAGTGAATGAAACGCCTGACTACCCGGAGATGCAGCCTGCATTTCCCTCCTACAGCCCTGCGCCTCAGAGGGTAAAGGAAGGGAAGACGTTTACTGGGTATTGGAGTGTGAGGGGTAAATCTTGGGGGGAAGGTGGTCCATGCAGGGCTTGTCCAGTCCGAGGAGCTGAGGATGGCTTACTTACTTACTTAGGTGATCCCTCGTAGTGATGGTCCTCCAAGTGTAGTATCCTGGTGGTGGGTCCATAGATGACTGTGGAGCCCTATTCTTGTTCTGCATCTTCTCTCACAGTGAGAGCATTGGCTTCCAGGTGGAAGGCCATCCTGGTTGGCATTGGCTTGACATACCTTCCTCTTAGCACATTTTTCTCTTTCACCCTCCATTCGTGCCTCTTCGAACTCCACAGCACTGCTGGTCACAGCTGACCTCCAACTGGAGCGCTCAAGGGTCAGGGCTTCCCAGTTCTCAGTGTCTATGCCAGAGTTTTTAAGGTTGGCTTTGAGCCCATCTTTAAATCTCTTTTCCTGTCCTCCAACATTCCATTTTCCATTCATGAGTTCGGAATACAGCAACTACTTTGAGAGATGGTGGTCAGGCATCCAGACAACATGGCCAGTCCAGCGGAGTTGATGGCGGAGGTCCATCGCTTCAATACTAGTGGTCTTTGCTTCTTCCAGCACGCTGACATTTGTCCGCTTGTCTTCCCAAGAGATTTGCAGGATTTTTTTAAGACAGCGCTGATAGAATCGTTCCAGGAGTGGCATGTGACATCTGTAGACTGTTCACATCTCGCAGGCATATAGCAGGGTTGGGAGGACAATAGCTTTATTAACAAGCACCTTGGTATCCCTAGGGATGTCCCAGTCCTCAAACACTCTCTGCTTCATTCAGAAAAATGCTGCACTCGCAGAGCTTAGGCGGTGTTAAATTTCAGTGTCAGTGTTGACTTTTGAGGATGACATACATCCAAAGATAAGGGGCCTTTTCACTCTACTCAGTTATCACACTGTGATCCCGCACTGTGATCCCATTCAACTGCTGTGGTTCCTTATCCTGGGATTTAGAGTTTGATGAAACATTCCGTTTGCTTGGCTGAGAATTGTGCTCGAAAGCAGACTAGTAGCCAGTTGTAAGAAAAAGGTACGTTATTCATTTTCTGTTGAACAGAGCCTTGGCATCTTTCTGTGGTTTGAACTGCATATTTTGATTTGTTGAAGTTCTGATGTTGTAAAAGGGAGATATTCTGGGGTCTGATAGATGCCACCATATCTGCATTTTTGGCCTTAGAAGCAAAGCAATAGGGTTGGAAAGCTGAGTAGACAATGTTCTTGGAATATTAATTTAGAACTTTTTTTTATCTGCATTCTTTACATAGCTATAGAAGAGCTCCTCCAGAGATTGATGAAGTAATACTTCTTCATGCCTACCCATTGATTGGAGTTGATGAGAATTGAAGTTCAGGACCCTCTTGGACAGACATGGGCAAACTTTGGCCTTCTAGGTGTTTTGGACTTCAACTCCCAGAAATCCCAGCCAGCTTACCAACTATTAGTCCAAAACACCTGAAGGGACGAAGTTTGCCCACATCTACTCTAGGGGATCTCAAGTACCACATCCTTGTACTAAGGAATTTAACTCTCCCTCTAATTTTTAAGAGAAGACAGCCATGGTGTGTTTATGTGTGTATAGTTGTCCCTCCACATTTATGGTTTTGACTTTTACGGACTTGATTATTCACGGATTTGATTAAAAAGTCCTCTAGTGTGACTCTAGAGTCCACTTCCTCCAGTCATACTGGAGACCCTAGAGCAGTGGTTCTCAACCTGTGGGTCCCCAGATGTGGCTCCCAGAAATCATAACAGCTGGTAAACTGGCTGGGATTTCTGGGTGTTGTAAGCCAAAACACCTGGGGACCCACAGGTTGAGAACCACTGCCCTGGAGATTTCTAGAGAGAACACCTCTATGTACATATGTAAATAATTACAATGTATCTCTGTTTGAAACCATCAGCCCCCGACTCCTGAAACTGACTACCCCAACCTTTCTCCCGATGAACTTGAACACTACCCAGAAGAAGATTACTCGCCGGTTGGCTCTTACAAGCATCTGGATGTCCCTCCACCATATTCAGAGTGGACCTCCTATGGCAACCAAGAGGGGATGGTGTTTGATGGCAACCATTATGCCACAGACACGGTAAGGAGCAGTGCATACAAAGGCATCAATTCTGCCATGGGGCAAGGTGGCATATTTGTTGTTTTTGTGTGTTTTCTAATGGGTTTTCTTGACAAGATTTGTTCAGAGGAGGTTGCCTTTGCCTCCTTCTGAGACTGAGTGTGTCTTGCCCAGTCTCACCCATTGGGCAGAGGCGGTCCTAGGTAAAAATTTTCAATGGTAAGCAAACAGTATTTTGGCGCCCCCCCCCCCCCACCAACCAATCACTGATATATATTTTCTGTTCGTCATGGGAGTTCTGTGTGCCATATTTGGTTCAATTCCATCATTGGTGGAGTTCAGAATGCTCTTTGATTGTAGGTGAACTACACATCCCAGTAACTACAACTCGCATATGTCAAGGTCTATTTTCCCCCAAGAGCGCCTCAAGAGCGCCCCTGGGCAAAATCAACTATACTGCAAATGCTTACTTTGCATAATGGGTTGATCCGCCCCTGCCATTGGGTTTCTGTATCTGAGTGGGGATTCAGAACTTGGTCTACAATGTCATAGTCAGGGGCGGCTCGTCCATTACGCGAGGTAAGCGGTCGCAGAACATTTTTTTTTGCCAGGGGCACAGAGGCGCCTCTGTAAATGCCCCTTGACCGCCACTTGAGGAGCGCCCCTCAGCTCACAACAGCCCTAGCAGTCCGGGGGGAGCCTCGGCTTTCTTGCCTCGCTGCTGGGTGATCCTCTTCCCAAAGGGGCCGGGCCCTTGAGCCCGCCTAGCCCCTCTCGTTCCTGCTCCACCCGGCCACCGGGTGCGCGCGCAGAGCCGGCGCTCAATCGTTCTCCGTGTTCGATCCCTTCCCCATGACTGGCATATTAGATTATATCAAATTCACATCTACTGAAGCGAGACTACTGTACAAAGGAGTCCTGTTTCAATTATTTGGCTGAAATTTTTCAAATGTTGTTATTCTTTTTCTCCCCACTTCCCAAAGCAATGTAAAGTGGCAGCACTATAAAATTTAATTACTTTTGGATCAGAGATGGGTGAACTAGACAAACAACATTCCCAAAAATTGAAATTGTGTGATCTTCACTATTAGCCAAAACCAGCAGGTATGTGTTGGCTGAAGGGAGGGCTCTTTGAGACATTAATGGAGTTTCAGAAAATATCAGTATACAGTTACTGAATGATTGTGTACACAAAATATTGTTTTTAAGGGATCAGCCAACCCAACTGACCAGTGCAAGTAGTATTTGCTGCTTCTTTTGATTTGACATGCTTCTATATTTTAGAGTTATGTGTGTCACATAAATTCAAGATGAAGATTCTTCTGTTAGTCTTCAGTTTAACACTTGATAGGAAGTGTGGCTTGAGAAGTTTTAACGTTCCATCTTTCTTGTAAGTCACACGAGCTTATCCATTTAATGGAGGAGTGGCCTCTTGGGATAAAGTAAACCTATCACTGCCATCACCCACTTGTGTCAAACATTGTTTATAGTACTGTACCTGGGACTTGAGAGATCCACTTCTCATTCCCACTGAGTCATAATACTCATTGTGCTACATTGGGGTGGTCTCTCTTTGAGCTTGACGTACCTTCCAGAATTTTAGGACCCTTCTGCACAGCCCTATATCCCAGAATATCAAGGCAGAAATCCCACAATATCTGCTTTGAACTGAATTATCTGAGTCCACACTCAGATAATGTGGGGTTTTCTGCCTTAATCTTCTGTGTGGAAGCACCCTTAGTGGGCATAAAGTATGGAGGATGTGAGCCACACATATCACCTTGAGCTCATTGGAGTAAGGTGTGGGGTTGCATGATGAATGGAGCCCCCGGTGCCGCAGTGGGTTAAAACCCTGTGCTGGAAGGACTGAAGACTGACAGGCCACAGGTTTGAATTCAGAAAGAGCACGAATGAGCTCCCTTTATCAGTTTCAGCTCCTCATGTGGGAACATGAGAGAAGCCTCCGACATCCGGGCATCCCCTGGGCAATGTCCTTGCAGATGGCCAATTCTCTCACACCAGAAGCGACTTGCAGTTTCTCAAGTCACTCCTGACACGACAAAAAAAAAAGCATGATGAATGAATAGAACATCATATGAGGCAGGAGTTTAGGCATGAGGGGTCAATTCGTAGCCTGAGTGCCCTTCTAGTTTCTTCCATGCTGACTGTGCTGAACCAATACTCTTACCCAGGTGAATGTGTCTGGACATCATCACAGCACCAGCAGTGGTTCCAGCCTGGACAGCAGTCCTTTTGTGAACTGGTCGCCCATCTCAGCAGCTTTTTCTGGTTTGAAGGAAGAACAGGTAAGTGAATACTTGAATTATCTCAGAATGATTAGATGAATCTGAACTAGAACTTCCATGTCCTTACCAATACAAGAAAGCAAATAAACGTTCTGCTCCCTGGTGCACTTAAGGTGACAACCAACGTCACTGGAAAATGTAAAGGTGAAGAAATGTTATAAAGTGTTGAACCAAAGACCAAATTGTGTTGTCAAAGGCCTTCACGTCCGGAATTACTGGCGTGTTGTGCGATTTCCAGACTGTATGGCCATATTCTCCTGACATTTTGCCTACATCTGTTGCTGGCATCTTGAGGATAATCTGAAGATGCCATCCACAGATGCAGGCAAAACGTCAAGAGAAAATACTGCTAAAACACGCCATACAGCCCAAAGACATCACACAACACCCCAAAGACCCAATTTCCTGCTATTCACCAGGCATCACACAGATAGCCCCTAATTCTCCCATTACATTTCTGTCTTCTCTTGGCTGGTAACTGGAAGGCTGGGCAATGCATCTAAATAGATCTAGAAACCCCTAACCCATATATACCATAAATGGTTCCAGCCCAGTTTACCTGTCCAAATGCATCTCTCCCTATGAACCATCTAGGCACTTAAGATCGTCTGATGAGGCTCTGCTCTCAGTCCCACCTCCTTCGCAGATGCGATTGGCAGGAACGAGAGACAAGGCCTTCTTAGCGGTGGCCCCTCGGTTATGGAATGCCCTCCCTAGGGATGTTAGACCAGTCCCTTCTGTCCTAACATTTTGAAAGAGTCAGAACCTGGCTTTTTGAGCAGGCATTTGCAGACGCAGTGTAACAGACTAATTGAGATCCACGGAACGATTGGACGATGTGACGGAAAAATGATTTTAGTGATGAGACTCTGAGGACTTGTGTTTTAAGGTTTTATTGTTTTTATATGGTTTATATTATAAGTGATGTTTTTAACTGTATTTATGTTGTTTGGGGGCATTGACTGCTGACTGTAAACCGCCTCGTGTCACCTCCGGATTGAGAAGGGCGGTATATAAATATGGTAAATAAATAAATATACACATTGTCAAAGATAATTAGTTATTCATGTGTGTGTGTGTGACTTGACATTGTTAACTTATGATGACCCTATAGGGCCTCTAGTGTAATTCTGAGTTGGAAATTGTCGTGTTTGACACTTAGAAATTCCTAGAGATGTGATACCTCAAGTTTAAAAAAAAAACATGCAATTTCTTTATTTGCATTGTTTAACTTTTATGGCTATACTGTGCCCTAAACCCAGCAAATGTAAAGGTCCAACTGTAATCTATTGCGTTCTTCTTCCCATCAGATAAAAACTCTTGAAAAGGCTGGGATGCTGCATCGGACAAAAATAGCTGATAAAGGGAAGCGTTTGAGGTAAAGCAGACTTCTCTTGGGGCCTTATCACATTAGGAAATACTTTGTTTCTGAGACTGTTTGAGAATGTTTTGAAACGGGTCCCATCACATAATGTTTGCCCCATCCTGTCAATATTCTGTCAAAATCCATCTGCAAAGCGTTGTAGAAACTGATTATTTGCATATTTATTCTTTACTATCCATCCCTTGCCACGCGTTGCTGCGGCCCAGCCTGTGTATTTGTGTTTTGTGTGTGTGTGTATGTGTATATGTGTATATATGTGTGTTTGCATATATATGTGGTTTTGCGCATGCGTTGTAATGGATTTTTGGGGTGTTTTGGGGGGGGGGGCTTTTTAAGCCCCTTCTGCTGTGTTTTTAGTGTTTTTTATGAGTGATGGTCACTTGTTGGCCTGAGAGATGTATTGTGTCCAAATTTGGTGTCAGTTTGTCCAGTGGGTTTTGAGTTATGTTAAACCCACAAATGAACATTACATTGTCGAAGGTTTTCATGGCCGGAATCACTGGGTTGTTGTAGGTTTTTTCGGGCTATATGGCCATGTTCTAAAGGTATTTTCTCCTGATGTTTCGCCTGCATCTATGGCAAGCATCCTCAGAGGTAGTGAGGAAAGAAAGGAGGAAACCATGAAAATGAACAAAATCTCACTACCAGCATTAAAAAACTCTAAAATTAGAACAACACAACAACAGAGAGGAAACAAACAGGGACATCTAATTACCTCTCAATGAAAGATTGCTCCAGGCACTGCTAGGCAATCAAATGCTAATCAAGGTGATCAGTTGAAACATTCACACCTAGCTCCAGCAGACAAGAGTCCTTTGTCCCACCCTGGTCATTCCACAGATATATAAAACCCTTTTTCCTATTCCAACAGACCTCACTACCTCTGAGTATGCTTGCCATAGATGCAGGCGAAACGTCAGGAGAGAATGCCTTTAGAACATGGCCATATAGCCCGAAAAAACCTACAACAACCCAGAACATTACATTTTTATTTATATAGATTTATTATTTATCTATTTACTATATTTATATACCGCCCCTCTCAGCCCAAAAGGTGACTCGGAACAGTTTACAAATGGCAACAATTTGATGCCTCAACAGTCAAACAGTATAACTATCATAAAATACTATTTTAAAAAAAGTATAACTATCATAAAATACTATTAAAAACATTAGCATCCAATATAAAAATATAAAACCGTACAAGCCTTAAACATTGTCGTGAACATCTCATCTCAAGTCATTGTTCAATTGCGTCATCAAGTAATTCTATTATTTTGTATAGCTATGCCGTGTTTGGGAAGGCCTGCTCAAAAAGCCAGGTTTTCACTTTTCTCCGAAAAGTCAAGAGCGAGGGAGCCGATGTTATATCTTTAAGCAGGGTGTTCCACAGTCGAGGAGCCACCGTGGAGAAGGCCTTGTCTCTCGTCTCCGCCAAACGCATCTGCGAGGAAGGCGGGAATGAGAGCAGGGCCTCCTCAGAAGATCTTAACCTCCTAGATGTTAAGATCTTCATAGATGGCTCATAAGGATACATTTCTCATTCTGATTTTTGAAATACTATGGTTTATTCCATTTCTAAAGTGCTGTTTGTGTATGAGAGGAAAATCTGTATTCATCTCATCAGCAACAATACTTTTTAAAAGGTGTTTTGAATGGATTGGGAAGAGCCAGCCGTCCATGGTGTGATAAGTCAAAGCACAGTATTTTAAATCATATTATTATTATTATTATTATTATTATTATTATTATTATTAATAATAATAAGGTTTGATGATGAGAGTATGCAGCCCGTCTCAAGTCAGAGTGCATCCAGTCCTTAAAAACATGGGATGCATAATGATATAAATTGAGTATATCCCAATGCGATAAGGTCAATGGCAGGGGTCCTCAAACTTTTTAAAAGGGGCCAGTTCACTGTCTCTCAGACTGTTGGAGGGCCAGACTGAATCCCACCAAAGATGCACCCTGGGCCAAGGGAGGTGGCAAGGGAAGCGGCCCCAAAGCCMCTTCGCTTGCCACCTCCCTCGCCATCTTCTGCCTTCGGGATGAGGCGAGAACCCGTCCCGAGTGCAGGAGAAGGCCAGGCTGGGCCAAGGGCGGCGGCAGGGGAAGTGGCCCCAAAGCCGCTTCGCCCGCCACCTCCCTCACCATCTCCTGCCTTCAGGATGAGGTGAGGCCGCATCCTGAGGGCAGGAGAAGGCCAAGCTGGGCCAGGGAAGTGTCAGGTGACGCGGCCCCAAAGCTGTTTCGTCCACTTCCTCCCTCGCCATCTACTGCCTTCGGGATGAGGCGAGGCCCTGTCCCGAAGGCAGGAGAAGGGCAGGCTGGGCCAGGGAAGCGGCAGGCGACGCGGCCCCAAAGCCGCTTCGCCCACTTCCTCCCTCACCATCTCCTGCCTTCGGGATGAGGCGAGGCCCCATCCCGAAGGCAGGAGAAGGCCAGTCTGGGCCAGGGAAGCGSCAGGCAATGCGACCCCAAAGCTGCTTCGCCCACTTCCTCCCTCGCCATCTCCTACCTTCGGGATGAGGCGAGGCCCCATCCCGAAGGCAGGAGAAGGCCAGGCTGGGCCAAGGAGGCGGCAGGGGAAGCGGCCCCAAAGTGGGATTCACCCTTCTCCACACCCTGCTGGCCGGATAAATGTCCTCGGGGGGCTGGGGCCGGCCTGCAGGCCATAGTTTGAGGACCTCTGGTGTATGGTATATTCTGGAGCTATCATCCAATCTCCCCCTATAGTTCTTTATGGTGAAAGATTGAACATACACTAGGACTTTTAAATATACAAAAAGAAAGAGGTCAGTTTTGAAAAATTCATGGTCATAATTAAATGTGTGAGTTTTGATTGGATTTTTCTACAGTAATTTAAAAAACAGAGCCAAATTTCAGTGACAAAGGGGCCAAGGGGGTTTTATGAACAAAGTAATTACAGAAAGCTACTAAAAGAATAAGTAGTTCCCTAGAGAATGAGTCAAGGTGTGATCACTTCGAAAGAGGTCAGCTGAAAACAGTTATTTCTGACCACAACAATTAGTTTAAATGGAGGCTTTTCAAGGCAGCTCAGCAATTCCATGCTGTGAGCAAAAGATGAGCAGAAAGTCCCTGGAATGATGCCAATCACTTTAAACCAATTTGGAATTAAAAAATACGCTATGACATAGTCACCTTCAGTCTAACTCTCAGGGGGAGGGGGAATGGGGGAATGTACAAAGTGTTATATAAGCTCATAGTTTATGATAGGCTTGCAAGGGAAGGGGATTAATTTAGTAGAAAAAGAAAGTCAGAGACCAGAACCAAAAAGCATGAAAATTCTTATCTAATTGTACTATGTTTCAACCTAACTCTGTGGATGTTATCTCACAAGGCTGATAAAGTGTAATTACGGCAAGATAAAAGCACCTTTGGAAGCGGCTTCTTTCACAATGTTGTGTCTGTCGAATAGTTGCATTAAAGAGTCCCTAAGTTACAAACATCCAACTTTCAAATGACTCATACTTAAGCATGGGGGTGAGACAACAGGAAGTGAGAGAAATCTACTCTTGGGAGGAAAATTCTCTCCTGAAAGAGTTATCCAGGGGAAAAGGTGTCTCCGCTGAAGCTTTTTCACAAATCCTTGTTTCCACAAGAAGCCACATTTTTCAAAATTCATTTATCACAGGGTCAGAAGGTGAGGTGAAATCTTCTGAACAAGAACACAGGCTGCAAAACAAGTATCACAGGGGTGTTCACCCTTCCCTGTGCTATCCAAAAATAGATATATAGATAGATAGAGTTTGAGTTACACTTAAAAATGTACCTGTTCCAAGTTGTAAACAAATTTAACTTAAGAACAAACCCACAGAACATATCTTGTTCGAAACTTGGCAACTGCCTAATTGGATTGCCTCTACTGGACTCACCAATAAGTCCAGTATTGTCCACGCCTTGGTTACATCCAGATTGGACTATTGCAATGCACTCTACATGGGGCTGCCCTTGAAGACGGCCCGGAAATTACAACTGGTACAACGGGCGGGAGCCAGGCTCCTAACTGGAGCAAATTATAGGGAGCGTACAATGCCCCTGGAGCCCCCGGTGGCGCAGTGGGTTAAAGCACTGAGCTGCTGAGCTTGTTGATCGAAAGGTCGCAGGTTCGATTCCGGGGAGCGGCGTGAGCTTCCGCTGTCAGCCCTAGCTTCTGCCAACCTAGCAGTTCGAAAACATGCAAATGTGAGTAGATCAATAGGTACCACTCCGGCGGGAAGGTAACGGCGCTCCATGCAGTCATGCCGGCCACATGACCTTGGAAGTGTCTACGGACAACGCTGGCTCTTCGGCTTAGAAATGGAGATGAGCACCACACCCCAGAGTCAGACATGACTGGACTTAATGTCAGGGGACTACCTTTACCTACCTTTACAATGCCCCTATTAAAACAGCTTCTTGTCTGCCGATAAGTTGCCGAGCCAAATTCAAGGTGCAGGTCATGACCTATAAAGCCCTAAACTGTTCGGGCCCTGCTTATCTCTCAAGTGCATCTCCATCTATGAACCGGCACGAACTCTAAGATCCTCAAGGGAGGCTCTCCTCTCACTCCCACCTCCATCACAAGCACGGTTGGTGAGGATGAGAGAGAGGGCCCCCCACCTTTGGAACGCCCTTCCAAGGGAAATAAGACAGGCCCCTCTTTTCATAAGAGTTTGAAGACTTGGTGGTTTCAACTAATCTTCGAGAGTGACCAGTGCTAGCTGAGGCCCGACACTGTCCGGACACAACCTAGCCCCCTATATATTACCCTGGTCATTCTCCTAACAGGCCCCTGGAAATAGCCCATCCCTGCTATTGTCTCTTACCTATTACAGTACTGTACCTAAATGCCGATCCATCTTATTTCAATTTGTATCAGTCTTGACCCAGCCTTTTTAATTGTCCTGACCCATTCCTTTTCCATGCCCTAACAAATAGACATGAAGAGCAGGCAGGATTTTTTGTTTAATATTTATATGTTGTTGGGTAAT